ATCTATTCTTAAGTTATTATCTATTAAATCTGGTGGGCTATATAACGTAGGGTAGTGGCTATAAACGTAGTTTTAAGTTACGCGTAAGGTCTTAATGGATAAAACTATATCTTATAGCTCTAGTGTTGACTAAGGTAGTTACTAATTATTTGGTACTATCTTGCTGGATTATATAGGGAATATTAATCTATATTTCCTAAGTTCCACCTAATAGATGAGTCCATAGATCTATTAAGACTCATATCTAGCGTAGTCCTATTAAGCGACTTATCTCTAGGACCGGGCTTTTCCCTATGATAATCGTCGTTGTCGTAAGCGCAATCGAGATAAGGAGTAAGAGCTCGTATCTAATAATACGTCTAATCTAGGTAACGGCGCGCATTAACTTAGAGAGCCCTATTAATCTATAGTCTATATCTGTGTCTTCTTAGGGCACTCCCTAGCTATATGTCTATGGGCGCTATATGTAAAGTAGAGTCCTTTCTATTAGTATTAATCCTTCTTCTACTCTAATAGAGTTACGCGCAATAATATATTAATCTTTATTACGTTTGGGTTGAGCTGCTGTCTTAGAGTCGTGACCTTATAGGTATAGTTCGATTGGTAGGTCGGGTGGGTAGGTAGGTATTAGAGGTTATTATTATATTAGGCGATTAGGTTGGCGTATTTATTAATATTAGATGGGATTTTGGCTCCTACCATTACGTGTTAGAGGTTATTAGATAGTGAGTAGCGTAAGGTATTAATCTATACTTCCTTATTTAGATTGGTATCTGCTATAAGGCGTTAAAATTTAGTAAAGTGGCTAAGGAAAGGGCGCTTTCCTTATTTAAGGTTATCTAGCTTACTCTAGGTAAATAGTGTTCTATTTAGATCGTCGTACGTAGCGTAGAGGAAGGTGATTAGCTTCTCTATAGTAGCTATATTAGATTCTATTAGCAGATCTGCGAATATTATAGGGTTATAGTTAAGTCACGAATGCGCGTATATTAACTTAGCGCGTTTAGTTAGGTATTAGTTAGTGTTGCCCTCTAGCTTTATATATAATCAAGAAATGAATAGAGGTAGGTCCTTCCTCTTACTAGTAAATATGGGCGGGTTAGGTAGTTAGTTACTTAGGTGCACCGTCTTTACAGTCATTAAGCCATTACTAGATGGCATTATAGAGGGCTCTAACGACTCCTCAGCTAGGGTTAATGTAGGGGAATTGGTAAAGTAAATAGACTTCTTAGGCGTAGTGAGCTCCTTACGTAGAGCCTCTATATTAGCTTAATGCTAATCCTACATCTATTAGAGAGACTACTAGAAGGCTTCCTATTAAGCCTACTAAGCTTACTAAAAGGTCTCCTATAGCATCTTAATCTATTCTATTATCGCCTATATTATTAGGGTCGGGTCTACTAAACTAGTTATGTTGGTTAGTTGGTGTGATCCAATGTAATATTATGAGAGCAATAAGTAAGATGTCTAAGGCCTAGATAGGCTAGATTAATATACTATATTCGGTATCTACGTATAGGTATAAGACGTTAGATAAGGAGAAAAGGTCCTCTCCCCTATCTAGCGTAGATCTATCTTCTCGCTTTATCACACGCCCTTGCCAAGGGTGGCTAGTACCATGCTTTGACCAATTAGCTAGCAGACGGGCCACCCATCTAATAATCTATTAACTGGCTACTAGCGCGCGATATCTCTAAGATATACTACTACTAGCAGTATATCCATGCTTGTTAGGTAGCCTCTAAGGTTACCGTGACACCTCTCTAGTAATATAGTAGGTAGTAATAAAGCGTTCCTTTCTAACTAGGGCGGCATTATTAAGGTGTAATAACTCCTAGATCTACTAGTGATAGAATCGCTTTACTACTAAGAAAATAGAGAGATCTAGAGGCTATAGAATATAAGATAAGTAAGTAGGGAGAAATAAAAGCCTAACTTTATTTTACTTATAGATCTATAGGAACTCTAGGTTAATATGGCTACTATGGCCATCTAAAATTAGCATCCTCTAGTAATCCTCTAAGGGCGTAGTATCTAGTATGTAATGGGGGTAGCTTGGCCCTAGGCTAAGCTAACCTCGAATGGGGTTCTAGTGGGAAATAAGGGCTATAGGAAGTAGTATAGTCGCGTTGGGTTAATACGTTAATTAACTATAGTAAGGTTATACTGCTAAAACGTTATAAGTAATCTTTCCCATAAGGAAACTAGATGTAATAACTATATCGTGGATTAATAATAATGGATTATTATGGGAATCCGTTATCTCTATATACTACTATTAGACCTGGCTCTATAGGCTCTACCCTATAGAACCTATAGAGCCGTCACGTGACCTTATTATATGCCCTAATGCTTACGTGTCTATGTTATGGTAAGTATTATCGCCATAAGTAATATTACCCTAGTTAAAACCCTAGTTATCATCATCGCTATTATTATAATTATCCTATAGGTTATTCTATTATAGTGTAGCTATAACACTATCCCCCCCTTCTAAGGTTTTAGTCTAGGGGTTAATCCGTGATAGGGGTCTGGCTATATTAGCAGGGCTGGCCCTATTATAAGTTTAGTATTCCTAGCCCTCTATATCTTCCTATAAGA